CTTAACTTGAAGCACCTAATAATAACAATAACAATAACAATAATAATAATAATAATAATAATATAATAAAATAATAATAATAATAATAATAATAATAATAATAATAATAATAATAATAATAATAATAATATAATATATTTATACCCCCACCCATCTGTCTGCTTTTCCCCAGCCATTCTGGGTGGCTTCCAACAAAACACTAAAATACAATAACCTATTAAACAATAAAAGCTTCCCTAAACAGGGCTGCCTTCAGATATCTTCTAAAAGTTTGATAGTTATTTTTCTCTTTGACATCTGGTGGGAGGGCGTCCCACAGGGCGGGTGCCACTACCAAGAAGGCCCTCTGCCTGGTTCCCTGTAACTTGGCTTCTCGCAGTGAGGGAACTGCCAGAAGGCCCTCGGCGCTGGACCTCAGTGTCCGGGCAGACACTGCTAATGGGGCCTCCTGCTGCTGCTGCAGCAGCAGGAGTACGATTTCTGTTCTCATCCTGAAGCAAAGTTTTTAACCCAAGGTACCATTTCTGGGTTAGCAGAGTCTGTAACCTCAAGTGTATGTAACCTGAGGTAACACTGTACATGGAAAAATACAGTAACTTCTGTGGAATGCAGGAACCTGAAGGAGAAGATAAAGGACCAATTGGTTTAAAAACGTGCTGGATCAGGTCAAAGACATATCTGTTGTTGTTGCTGTTGTTTAGTCGTGTCCGCCTCTTCGTGACCCCATGTACCAGAGCATGCCAGGCACTCCTGTCTTCCACTGCCTCCCGCAGTTTGGTCAAACTCATGCTGGTAGCTTCGAGAGCCCTGTCCAACCATCTCGTCCTCTGTCGTCCCCTTCTCCTTGTGCCCTCCATCTTTCCCAACATCAAGGTCTTTTCCAGGGAGTCTTCTCTTCTCATGAGGTGGCCAAAGTATTGGAGCCTCAGCTTCAGGATCTGTCCTTCCAGTGAGCACTCAGGGCTGATTTCCTTCAGAATGGATAGGTTTGATCTTCTTGCAGTCCATGGGACTCTCAAGAGTCTCCTCCAGCACCATGCTTGGTTTAGGCATTGTATTAAAACGTTGTTAAAATTAAACTATGACTTAACGTGACCAACAGTGCGCTAGGGTACACTGCTTAGCAGTTCCCAGTCTCTCCTCCCCCTGCTAACCATTTATCGTGCCTGGGGAGGAAACAAACCAGAGGCTGACTTTGCATTACACGTGAACCAACACTCTTAGTTTGTTTCTTCGCCAGGGGAGGAACAATGGAGTAACTTTTGATCAGTATGCACCAGCGTGTCTCTTAGTCGCGTTAAACCATAGTTTAATTTTAACTATTATTTAGTGTGACATATGAAGAGGGCCTAGTTTGTTGCAGTAAGAGGGCGAGGATGGAATCTTCTCTTTCCATTACACGTTCTTCTGTAGAGTCCTGTTACATTTGTACTTTTTCTTTTGTATTTCCTTCTCTTAATGCTATCTGCCTTCTCTTGCACACCTTCCTGCTCCTGTCTACTCATCTATCCCATCTGTCCAAGAGGTGGAAATAGCAAAGGCACACAGCCGAGCCTCCTTGGTGGTGGCCCCAACAATTCTGGAACATCCTCCCTAAAATAGCCTGCCCAGGCCAGGCCTTCCAGTTTTTTCGAAGGAAAGTTAGATGTCTTTTAACATAGACAGGCATTCTGTGTGATTACCCGATGGTATTTCAATTTACTCTAGTTGTATTTTTTTCTTCTCTTTGGTTACGCATTTTTGTTTTACCTGTTAGTTTTGTGAATTATTTTGTGATCCCTTTTGGCTCTGTTTATGGAGACAGTTGAAGTACAAGTTTAAAGTACACATACAGATGCACTTTTGCCTAGATATCTTCATAGTTAAGTGTGCTGGGGAGCCCCTCTCTTTGTCTTGGACATGTGGAAAAGTTCTAGACGTTTGCAGATGTGAGATAGCTCAGTAGAGCACAGGACTCTTAATTTCAGAGTTGTGGGTTTGAGCCCTATGTTGTGCAAAAGATTTCAGCATTGCAGGGGGTTGGACTCTATAATTCTATGATCTATGTAATAATGCACAACTCAGTTAAGCTGCAGAGTTTGGCTCTTTAAACATCCTTGTGACTAGATTGTGCTAAACAAAAATGCTTTGTATTGACAGGATTGCGAACTGTGTTTAGAAAGCTTTCCCCGCTCCAATAGCTTCTCAGTATCCTAAAAATAAGGGACTATGCTAGATTAGTGATTGCAAAAAATGGGAAAACTTTAAATGCAAATATTTTTGAAGCCTGGGTTTCCCAAGTATGGGACATCTTGCTTATGAACATATTAACCATTTCACAAAAGGAATAATAATAAGAGTTGAGGGGGGGGGAGACTCACACTTTTTATACAACTTAGTAGCCCTTTATTGACTTTGTTAAGACAATCACACATAGTTTTCACCCTCTGTCTACTCATGGAACCTTCTGGAAAGACACTTTCATTTGATTGCCTTTCTTGGAAAGTCTAAAACTACAACCCTCAACTGCTGTTTTTCTTTCTTTTCAGTACAACTACTAAGCTCTCTTTTCCTTGCATGGGTATGCTTTATTACTTGAAATTAAAAAAATTTTTTTTTTTTTAGGGGACTATATTAAGCTTAAATGTGTGGAGCTGAAGGTGCAGTAGCTCTGAATTCGGAAGGGGGGGGCTTCTTATTTGGGGCAGGCCTTGAGGATAATGTACTCTTTACAGTTGTTTTTATTAGCTGTTTATGATATGCTCCACACAACTTACCGCTTAAATAGCACCGAAATGCCAACAACATCCACACCCACCTGTTACAACTAAGGTGTGAAAACTGCATTCTTCCCCTTTTATTTATTTTATTTAAATTGCATTTTAGCTTGTATTTTAAATTTGGTTTTTTTCCTCCCTCTCCTTTCCCCATTATGTTTTTACTGTTATTTTATTTTATTGGCATTAGCCGCCCTGAGCCCGGATCTGGCCGGGGAGGGCGGGGTATAAATAAATTATTATTATTATTATTATTATTATTATTAAAAATAGAACATTGGTCGTTTAAATAAATAAAAACCAAAACCAAAATCTCAAAGTGGTTTACAAAAATATGCCAGGTGCTTAGACTCCCCACCAAAACACAAAAAGGTTTTCTCTTCTTTGCCCTTTCCCCTTCCAGCAAAAACTACACACCCTGCTGGTGGAACCTGCCCTGCTTTTCTCCCCCTGTAGCAACCTGAGCATCCTTCCCTCGCTCTCAGTCCCCCTTTCTGACTTGGAAAAGCAAACTAGGGCTCTCGCCACTCCTTCCTTTCCCCCCTTCCCTTCCTTCTTTGTTCTTTCTGTACGGCTGCAAGGAGACCTAGGTTTGAGGGACAGACCTTTTCCCACCTTGGGAGCAGGGATCAAGGGCAGCTGTGCTGGGAGAGAGACACCCATTGCCCTGGCGCTGGGTGGTTTCTCTTAGTGGGACTTTCTGGGCAAACGCAGGGAGGCGGGACAGTTGCCTAGCAAAGATCCCGGGGAGAGAACACCCACACCCACAGAGAGAGAGAGAGGTGGGACCAGACTGAGAACAAAGGCAGATCTGCTGATAGCCTCCTCCCTCTCTCCTCCCCCCCCCTTACTCCGCCTTGTCTGGGTAGCGTAAGAGCCTGGCCTCCTGCCAAGGAGGGTCACACAAGCCCAGGTTCCCAGTCTCTTGTCTCTGCAGCAAGCGCTGCCACCGGCAACAGCTGCTCTGATGAGGTAAGCCCCCTTCCTGTGGAAGCCTCTGGGTCCGTGGAGTAAGGAGACCTGGTGGCCGGCTGGCTGGCTGGCTCAGTAGGTGGAGCAGATCGGATTGCTGCTGCACATCTTTTTGAGTCAGGATTTGAGCCCAGGTAACTGCTCGGCGAAGGAGCAGGAACCGGATCTTGGCGTCTTCTTTTCAACAACAACAAAACAGGGAAAGTGTCCGTATGGCTGGGGAGGAATGTTGCCTCTGTATAATCTGCATCTCTCTCTCTCTTCCTTGTTTTCCTAGGCAAACTTTCGCTTAGCTTTGCACTGCCGGATGGCAAATGTGTATGTACGCATTAGTGAGGGCTGCCAGCTTTCTCACTGTCAAAGCTGTTGTGTTTCCGCCTCGTTCGTTTCAGCCCCTCTGCAGGTTTCAAGAACGCATTGGCGGCTCCTCCTTTCTTCTCGCCTCTCTGCCAAGCCCCACAAACCCTAATCCTCAGATGTTCAGCAATGGCTAGCATTTGTACAGTGCCGTTTGGGAAAACTCAGCCATGGAAATGCAAATGAGGGGTTGTGGGTGGGAGACAGAGCCTCTTCCCAGAGTCTCAGATCGGAAATTAGGAAGGCTTGACTTGTCAACGTGCTTGGAGGAGCTGAGCAATTGTACAGCACCTTCTCTTCCTTTCCCCCCACTTACTCCAGAACCCTCCTCAGTTCTGAGAGTGCGAATCCCCATCGTTTTCTTCTATGGAGTTGAGTCTGGAACCAGACTGTCAAAACATTTTGTCCTCCTAGTTCTCTTCAAGATACACTTGTATTTCTTGAGCCGTTGAGGCTTTCTGTTGTGAGGAGAAAGAAATAGCAACTTAATTTCTCATTGTCTTTCTGTGGCCATACTGTAATCTATGTGTCCCTGTTTCATCCCGTTCCGTGCTGGATTTATGTGACCTCTGGGGCTGGAGGTGTGCTCTCTGCTCTTCCTCCCGTGCTCTTAAATGGCAGCTAAATCAGCTTTCTTTATTCCCAAGGGTGTGGGGGTGGTAGCAGCTTTGACGTCGCCATCAACCTTACCCAAGTTGCGCCTACCAATGACATGCCGTGTTCCTCTTTATGCAAGGACACAGAGCCGCGAGGTGTTGTGGGAATTTCCTTCTCTGTCTGTCTCTCTCTCTCCAGGTGATAAGGCTAAGTGGGAATAAGTCCTCTCTCTATGGGATCAGCTGTGTGCAGCTGTTGCTTTAAACATTTCAGGACCTGACTTGTCCAAGTGAGCAACCTTGCCCTTTCCTTCCGTAGGTGAGGATCGTAGCTGCGCATGACTATGTCCACGATGGTATATCCCAGAGAGGAGAAGATGGACAAGCTCAGCCAAGAGGAGATCATCTCCAACACCAAACTAGTGATGCAGGGGCTGGAAGCCCTGAAGAATGAGCACAACTCGATCTTGCACAGCCTGCTAGAGACCATCAAGTGTCTGAAGAAGGACGAGGAAGCCAACCTAGTACATGAGAAGGCCAACCTGCTGCGCAAGTCAGTGGAGATGATTGAGCTGGGACTTGGAGAGGCTCAGGTAAGGGGCAGCCCATTGGGGTGTCTTGGAGTGGCATATGGGTCCGTCAAAGTAAGTGAAATACAGTCGTACCTTTGTTTTCAAACAGCTTAGTTCTTGAATGTTTTGGTTCCTGAATGCCGCAAACCTGGAAGTGACTGTTCTGGTTTGAGAACTATTTTTGGAAGCCGAAGCTTTTGGAAGCTTCCTGCAGCCAATCAGAAGCTGCACTTTGGTTTCCAAATGTTTTGGAAGTCGAACGGACTTCCAGAATGGATTCCGTTCAACTTCCAAGGTACGACTGTATGGGAAATCATTGTTTAAAAAGGTTGTCAAGTACTGTATATTGCCTTGGCTGTCTCTGAAATCACGGTTGCCAAACATGTTTGGGTGTAGGCAGGACTCTGCCACTCTTATACAGGATAATTGCAGCTTTGGGCATAGAATTCAACATCTATAAGCTTTTGTAGCTTTTCTTTTTTTAAAAATGCAAGTTTCTAGCCTTCTGGTTGTCATGATAGGCTTGAAACTTTGTGTAAAATTCTGATGAAGTTGCTGAAATCTTGACTTTGCAGGGCAGGTGTGTGTGTTTGGCTGGATTTCTGTTCCTTGCTCAGGTGCCTTAAAGTTGATCCTTTCCCCTCCCCATGATTTAGCAAAAGTGGTAACTTTTGCAAAATAAGCCGAGTATATATTTATTCAGATTTTTATTACTCATTCATTAAACATGTATGTGCACCAGCACATGAAAGTCAAAGGATCAGCTTCTATAGATGCAAAATCATAACAGTTTTAGCACAGCCCTTGGAGATGCAAACCTGGTACTCAGCTAATCTGCATGAATGACGGGAAATGGAGATTAGGAATTGTTGTTCCTCTGCCCTGGGCCCTCTGTCCAGCAGCACTGCCCGTCCCTTCCTCCTTGACAAATAAGGGACCCAAAGAGGTGATCAGGCCCTCCACATTTTGCTGGACTTCAAGTCCTCCCCTGTCCCACAAACCTCTGTGTTATCTTGGAAGACTCCAGAATACAGCTGGGCAAGCAGCTGGTGTGGCCTGCCTGGTGTGGTTGTCTTTAATATGGTTCCAACTTTGTGTCTCCCCCACTCCCATTCCTCTTACTCATTAACCGCAGCCTTGCTTCTCCTTGGCAGCCCAGAGGTGACTTATGGAGGCAGCTGTGGGGCCCTTATGGCACTCCTTAAGGGGCCATATTCACGCCCCCCCCCAAGACCACAACTTCATCAAATCATAGAACTAGTCCAATCCTTGTATGCAGGAACCTGAAAGCTTCCATGACAGATGATCATCCCAACTTGTTGAACCCAAGCGTTGCATATTTTAGTCTGAGGCAAGGACTTGGGCTAGGTGATCATCTGACTTATACTTCTTGCAGGCCTTGGAATCTCCTGTAGTAGTTTTTTTTCTTTTCATTGAGACAGGGAACCTTAAGTCAGGCCAGCCAGGAGGTTTTTGGCTAGAGCAACATGGAAACTGCCATTGAAGAGGGACCTCTCAAGGGGGCACTATTCTTGCGTTTAGGCCAGGGGTGTGGAGACTCAGGCCTGTGAGGGGCCTACATGCGCAGGCCTCTTTAGCTGGTCCTCTGAACTGTTCATGGCCATATGTTTTTGCCTGGCTAGAATATGTCCCTGAGCTCTGATAATGACTCTCTTCCCTCCAAAGAGAGGGATATGTGTTGGTGGGTGGGTTTAGAAACTAGCATGCTGTACAAAAGTAACATTTACATTCATTGCTCCACCCACTTTTGCCTCTGGCTCCGCCTACCACTGTTAATGTGCCCCCTGCCCCCACCACCCAAAGGTTACCCTGAAGGAAGCCCAGCCCTTCAGGGTCGAGAAAGGTTTTCCCACCTCTGCGTTAGGCAACAGCGAACGTCTCTTCTTGCTTCCCTTGGACCAGGTGATGATGGCTTTGTCAAACCACCTGAACGCAGTGGAATCCGAGAAGCAGAAGCTGCGGGCCCAGGTGCGCCGGCTGTGCCAGGAGAACCAGTGGCTGCGGGACGAGTTGGCAAACACCCAGCAGAAGCTGCAGCGCAGCGAGCAAACGGTGGCGCAGCTCGAGGAGGAGAAGAAGCACCTGGAGTTCATGAACCAGCTGAAGAAATACGATGAGGATGTGTCCCCATCGGTGAGCACCCAGAACATTTTGGAGTGGGGGAAGACGCCTGTGTCTTGACATGGAGCTCTTTCTGCTTGAAAGTCTAGTAGTGATGGTCTTTCCAAGAGATCCTGTTAGAGCATCTAGCAATTTGAGTTTGTCTGGGTGGATGAGAAAGACACGGCTCACCCCAGCTACAGTAACTGGGTTGGTCTTCCCTTGCTGGGGAAGAGAACCTTTGAATGGGCTTGCTTGGTTAAGCTTAACTACTTAAGTGAAATATTAAGCACTCATGCTTTCCTTTTCCCCTTTTTCTTTGTTTCTTCCCTCCTACCCATCAATGTCTCAGGAGGAGAAAGAAGGCGATTCCACAAAAGATTCCTTGGATGACTTGTTTCCAAATGAGGAAGAGGACCAGGGCCAAGGGTGTATGTTGCATTCTTCCTTATTTTATTATTCATTTATTTAACCAGCAGGATTTGCATGCCACTTCCTCATCAAAACCATTAAGCAGTGGTTGCATAATACGATATAAAATTTACATTAAGATAAAGTCTTTAAAAACAAGCTTTCAAAATGCAAGTAAACTCAGCAGTTTGTTTGTTTGTTTAAAAAAATACGCATAATAGAATAAAATCACATGTTAAAACACATGTCAAACTTCTATGTGTCTAGGTATGGCGTAGCATGGGGGGTGCAGGGGGGGCCGGCCGCACCGGGTGCAACATCTGGGGGTTAGGGTTAGGGGGCGCAAATCCACGGGTTAGGGGGCGCAAATCCACGGGTTAGGGGGCGCAGCCCCGGGTGCTGACAACCCACTCTACGCCACTGCTCCCATCACCCCTAGCTAGCAAGGCCAGAGCTCAGGGATGATGGGAGTTGTAGTCCAACAACATCTGGGGACCCACAGGATGAGAACTGCTGCCTAAGCGAAGAGGTTTTTTGCAGACAGTATGGCAAAGGCGCCTGTCTAATATCAATGGGCGGGGAGTTCCTGGGTGTATAATTCCTTGCAAGTGCAAGAACAAGCATCATGTGGCACTTATCAAAGTGCTCGTTCTGCAAATCAAAGCGGTAACTGGGGTAACTGTGTGCAGAGGACAGATGGAAGGAAGAGTCATAAAGCTACCTTTTTGGACCTATCTTCCAGCGGCTGTTGTGTCTCATTTGAGAGGGAGTGCTAGCCAGTAGGAATGGGCCATAGCCCCCATGGCATTGCGAGCTGCCTCCTCTATCCTCGATTAATGCGCTCTTATGTTTGCAGTGCCTCATCCGCACAGTAGTGCAGCGGCAGCCGCCCAGCAAGGCGGCTATGAGATCCCAGCACGCCTGCGCACACTCCACAACCTGGTGATCCAGTACGCTTCCCAGGGACGCTACGAAGTGGCTGTTCCCCTCTGCAAGCAGGCGCTGGAGGACTTGGAGAAGACTTCAGGCCACGACCACCCTGACGTGGCCACTATGCTCAACATCTTGGCCTTAGTATACAGGTGAGAGGAGGAGGGGAATGGCGGAAACTCACTTTTTTTAATAATAATTTTTATTAGTTTTCAATTACAACAATCCAATAATAGCCTCGTTATAACAATGCCAAATTATAATACAATTATTAATACCAATAATTCAGATGCCAAATTATATAATTTAGGCGGGCCCCACGTGCTAGAATTGTTGGTTTGATGATTTACTTTATTTCTGCATTCCAGAATCTTACTAATTTCAATTACACACCAGTCAAAATAACAATCCCTTATACAACGACTGCCATTTTAACGACTTCCATTTGTATTGACACATTAAATGATTTATAAACTTACAGGTGAAGCATTCAAACTATATCCTTGACCTTCCTGTGTGTGGCAATTATTCTGTCTGTGATGTTTCTTCCTGTCCTTGTAAAATGTTATGTCTATCTTTTCCCGGTTGTTGCTGTTCTCCATCATGCCTTGGACAGAGCTAGTATCCCATTGTTATTTCAGAAGTTCTCCATTGCACCGTCCCGTGCTTCATTGTTTTGCAACTTTAACAGCAGCTGCAAAAATCGCACTGTCCCAATAAATATCCTGTTTTCGCCATTTTTCTCTCAGCCTGGGAAGGAGAGCGATCTTTCGAGCTTCAAATAACTCGGTAATAAACCTTATCAACTCCGGCAGACACTCACTCACTTTGGAAGGAACAGGGCTTTCTTGGTTTTTCCCCTTGTGTGACTATGGAACAGTTGTCCGGGACAATGAAACTCAGTGCTTTGAATTTAACTGTGGAAAGTTGTGTAGCGAAGGAGGAAGGACCTCCCTGGGTCTTGTGTGATATTGCTCACTATGTGCCTCACTTTGTGTTGCAGGGATCAGAACAAATACAAGGAGGCAGCTCACCTTCTGAACGATGCACTGTCCATCAGGGAGAAGACGCTTGGCAAGGACCATCCTGCAGTAAGTAGCCGTTTCCCTGGACTTTGATGAGAAGGAAGTTCTGGGCAGTGGGGAGTTGTAAGCCAGTCATGTGGCCAAGGGGACTTGCAGGAGTGTCACGTTACATGGTCAGCTGACCCTTCGGAAGGGTTTGGTGACAAAGTCAGGGCTAGATGACTCAAAGGGGGGGGGGGTCTTTTTGCTGTAAAAGCTAAACACGGAGTCCAGACAGGTAAGGTGAGCGAGTTAGTCCCTGAACTAGACCATTCTGCTGTAAAAATCTTGGACCATCTTTGCCGTGGATGGTTGCAAGGTAGTGGTGTTTAAAGGAATCTTGCTTGATAGGTCTTTCTTTCTTTCTTTCTTTCTTTCTTTCTTTCTTTCTTTCTTTCTTTCTTTCTTTCTGTTTTCTATAGTTCTTCCATGGCTCTAATGCTAGGTCTGCTTATGTTTCTCTACAGGTTGCAGCAACCCTGAATAACTTGGCTGTTCTCTACGGCAAAAGGGGGAAATACAAGGAGGCAGAACCATTATGCAAACGAGCACTGGAAATCCGGGAAAAGGTAAATTCCCTCCCCCCTGGAGAAGAAAGGGCCAGGGTGTCAAGACAACCCTCTTCAATGCTACTCTGGAAAGGGGAGCATGTGTGTTAGATAGGAAGTTTCCCGAGTCAGTCTAGAATGGTCTATCTAGAATGGTCTGTATTGTCTGCACTGACCGACAGCATCTCTCCAGGGTTTCATGCAGGCATCTTTCCCTGCCCTACCTGGAGATGCCAGGGATTGAAACTGGCACCTTCTGCATGCAAAGTGTGGATCCATGTGGATTCAGAACAATGCCTAGGGAGGGGCAGGTGTCAGATACGATGCAGAAGGAGCTATTTCTGCCAGAGCTGAAGCTCCAAATGACTTTCCATGGGCCACTCCCCCCTCCCCCAAAGTAAAAGGATCCTGCCATATTCCCAGATTTGCTTCTTTTCTTCCTAACTAGCTTTTTCTGATGGTTTGCCTCCTTTTCAGGTTCTAGGCAAAGATCATCCGGATGTGGCCAAACAGTTAAATAACTTGGCTTTGCTATGCCAGAATCAGGGAAAGTATGAAGAGGTAGAATATTACTACTGCCGGGCGCTGGAGATCTACGAGTCGCGCCTGGGGCCTGACGACCCAAATGTGGCCAAAACAAAGAACAATTTGGTGAGTCCACTGGGTGGTGAAAAGGGGGTGGGGGTGGGTATCGTGCATGACGATCAGTGGCTGCCTGTGCTGCATTTTTAAGATTGTCATTCCTGTCCCCTGTCCCAGGCCTCCTGTTACCTGAAACAAGGCAAATATAAGGAAGCAGAGGTCCTCTACAAGGAGATCCTCACCCGGGCCCATGTGAAGGAATTTGGCTCTGTGGATGGTACGGACAGCAAAGAGCGAGGAGGGCTTGGTGGGGGTGTGCAGGCCAGTGGTGTATCGTGGGTTGCCCATGCCCAGGACCACACTGTGGGAGGAAAGGAGTGCGCATGCGCATTCAACTGCCAAACGGCGTCCGCATCACCCAGGAAATCGCAGCCATGGAGATAAGAAAAGAGTCATTCCATTGTCTGGAAGAGGTCACTTCCTGGTTTATAGGTAGAAACCATTTTCAAAGGAGCCCAGTGCCAGAAGTGCACAGCTGTATTGAGGCAGCACCAGGTGTTGAAATTTTGCACCCCTAACAAGTTTGTGCCCAGGGCAGCCGCCCTTGTGCCCGCCCCCCAAACACCACTGGTGCAGGCTGGAGCCTAGGTGCCTATCTCCTTCTCCAACAGTACTCTTTGAATTACCTATTTCTTTTCATGGCCCGGCTGACAAAAACTATTTCCTCCAAAGAAAATAAGCAAACGGATCCAAAAATTTAAGCTTATTCCTTTCTCGACTGTACCATGGGAAAGAGTAGCATTCCTTATGAAATACCAACAGGGTGTTTTGTTTTGTTTTGTTTTGTTTTGTTTTGTTTTGTTTTGTTTTGTTTTGTTTTGTTTTGTTTTAACCAGATTTGTATTTTATCCTGCAGACGAGCACAAGCCGATATGGATGCATGCAGAAGAAAGAGAGGAGATGAGCAAGGTGAGTGCGAGAACATTTATTCTGGTGGGTGAGAGCAGGCACACAGCGCACACCTGAGTTTTTCTTGTTCACCTGTCCTGCATTGGGAAGAGCTCCAGAAATGGCAGCATCCTCTCTTTGCCTTAGAGTGGATCTCTGATGGTGCCAAACATGCTGACTGGTAGCTGCAGCGGAGGACTGAATACCTTAGTGCAGCAGTATTTTGTTGGGTTGTAGTGTGTTAATGTGTCATGGGGGGCAGTAGGGACGAGGGGTTGCTACTCAGACTGCATAGAAACTTTCTGGGGCAGGAGTTGAAATTGATTGCCCTGTTTTTCCTGTGCCTTGCATGTTTTCTCTTTATTATAGTGCACTCCTTAGGACGAACTGGAGAGTGGAAGATGAAGGGATTTCAGCAGGTTTCTGGGCCACAGACTGCAGAACCAGAATGTTTTTAGAAAAATAAATGTCAAGCCTCAGAATTCGGTCATTTGGAAAGCTCGGTTGACTGATCAGGAAAAAATAGCTCCTTCAGCCCCGAGGCTTAAGAGAAGGGTAATAGGAAGACACTATAGTCTTCTGCACCATCACCTTCTGCTTTAGAAACCAGGATGTGTGGGGGAACCCCTGCCTATTAGAGCTACAGCAAGCCCAAGATACTTAGGAGACATGTTCCAGCCCATGGTGCAGTGAGCAACGGCTCATGGCTCCTTTGGAAACAGATAAATTGCAAAAAGACTTCACATGCTTCTGAAACATTCTGGGCTAAGGTGCTGAACACAGCACAGAACTTCACAAGCAGGAATATAAAAGCTCCAGCACACTTTCCATGCTGGAATTCAGTTGAGCAGAATCCACCTGGTTTTCTTTTTCTCAATTTCTCTCCCATTTTTACAAACCTGACCTGATGGCTGGTGCCTGCTTTAATGTCTCAGGCCGTTTCCCTTGAACATGGGCCATGTCACAACAAAAAATAAGTAGGGCATTGGCACTCTTATCGCTACTAGGCTTGCCAAATGCCCTCCTGTGGAATAGATGGTTTAGAATGAGTGAGATGGGTGCTTGTTTCTCAGGTTCCGAGCCAGCCTTTCTTCGCTGAAGAATCTATGCTGCTCTTGCTGGATAATCTCGGAGTCAAGTCAGAGAACTGTGTGTTTATGTGCTGCCTTGAATATTGTTGGCTAACAAAATCTGACCCTGCTATGATATGATCTCATGTCAGGAAATGGCTGAAATAAAGAGCCACATGAAACAAATTTTCCTCTGGAAAAAAACCAGCTGGGCGTCTTTTAATTGGATTTCACCTGGATCATGGGCCCAAATGAGTCAGCTGGTTAAATGAGAGACTTCATACATAGTTCTTGAGGCAAAACTCCCTCTTCTGTCAACCAGGATCTTTATCAAGAAGCTAAGGATACTGATTTAGGTCCTCTTCATTGCCCTATCAGCCATCTGTCTGCCGATCCTTTTAATCCAATGTAATTTTGTTTCTACCAACCTTCTCTGTTTCTCATCACATGCTTGAAAAAACACTGCGATGCAACACCTCCCTGTAGAGTACTTGTGAACATGATTTAAATATTTCATGCATTCTTCAGTTCCAGACAGGAAGCAAATGAGCGGGGCAGGTTTTGTTCCCTAACCTGGAGCCATGGTACTCCAATCCCACCTGACTCTTTCCTACATGGTCTTCCTTCAGTGGACTGCCCTTTCACTACTTTGGCCTCCTCTAGCAGAGTTTCACTCCAGCACATTGAGCTGGAAGCAGCTGGAAAAAGGTGGAGCAATAAGGCTCAGGCCATTTCCCTTCCCAGTTCCTTAAAGCATCTAGTTAAGCTAGTCACTAAGGCCCAGTTCACACTTGAAGCATTCTTGTGACTAGGGAGCTTCCTATTGGTTCATCTGTTTTCTAGTCTGATGGGCAATGGCTCTCCACCATCTCATAGGATCATAGGATGCTGCCTTATTCTGGGTCAGACATTGGGTGCATCTAGCTCTGTATTGTCTCTCCAGGGTTTCAGACAGGGAATCTTCCAAGCCCGACCTGGAGATGTCAGCAATTGAAACCTGGGCCTTCTGCAGGTGAATCAAGTGCTCCATCCCTGAGGTCTTTCCCGTCACCTGCTCCTTGATCCTTTTTACTAGAGGTTCCAGCAGTGAATGTGGAGCCTTCTGCAGGCAAAGGATATGCTCTTGTCACTGAGCTGGGGTCTGTCCCCAAGTAGGAATGAAAAGTGTAAATACAATAAAGCTGATTGTGGACACCCATGTGAACTGTGACTGATAGAGACTTCCTGGTACGTGCCCGCCATGTGGCCCTGCGTGTTTGCAAGCACACCTCTCCGCACATTGCAGTACTCGACATTACAATTAGAGGTCTGTAAGTAGCAAACTCATTGCTTCTTAAAAAGAGTGAGAATTGGAAGACACCAAGTGGGTCAGGCTTTGCTGAAACGGACAGCAAAGGGAGATGTCTAAAGGTTCTGTAGTTTGTGGGAACATAGGAAGCTGCCTTATACAGAATCAGACCCTTGATCCTGCAGGGTTGCATACAGGGGACACTCGCAGCCTTACTTAGAGATGTTGGGGATTGGACTTGAGACCTTCTGCATGCAAAGCAGATCTTCTGCCACAGAGCTACAGCTCTTTAAAACATCCGTATATCTAAACAGGTACCAACATTCATCTTGCTTTCTAGGGAAAACTTTCTGAATAATACTGTGTATTTCAGAAGTGTCTCCCAGCCCATATATGTTCAAAGTTATACATGCCATCATAGTAATCACCAACCTTTCTGGGTAGGTCAACACAGTATCCCCAAAGCGGGCGGGGGGCAGGGGGGGGGAGAGAAGCAGTTTGAGAAGGGGCAGTCAAGAGAAAGTCAGTGGCTGACTTGGGGACAGTCAGTGACCTGGGGACTTCCCAGCTAAGACCTTTTATCTTAACAGCTAAGCTAAATGAGCTTTTCTTTGAATGCAGAAGTGAACTGGAGCTTTCCAGAATGGCAAAACAGAGGATTTTTGCAACCAATGCAGAGGAGTGAGGTCATATGTTGTTGTTGGACTAAGCAGCTCCTCTTCAGTAATGTACTCGGTTTCCATTCTCCATGATGTCATCTTCTACTGGCATTCTCGGTTTCTTTGCCATGCTATTAAAAGGCATTAAACCCATCTTGCTAGAGCATTCCTTTTTCCCCCCACTTTCCTTTTGTCATATTTTTATCCACGTAACATAGCTTCATCCATACAGATCAGCCTCGTAAATGTTTTCACAAAGCAGGCTTCCTCGAACGCAGTGGGATTTGCTCCCGAGTGAATGTGCATAGAACGGCAGCCATGGCCATCTTCCTGTGGATGGACTTGGGGCAGCTTTTCGCAGTGCATGTTGTACATACTGACCCTGGGAGGTGGGAATAGATAGACCATCTTCATTGTACTACTAAGGGAACGCCCCTAAAGAACAGGCTAAGGTGGGGTGGGAAACTCTGGCCATCAAGATGTTATTGAACGCCTGCTCTCATCCATCTAAGGCGCCATGGCCAGTGGTCAAGGATGATGGGAATTGTAGTCCAACAACATTGGAGGGTCACAGGTTTCCCATTTGTGGGGCAGCCCCTGGGTAGGAACAACTAAATTCATATTGCCCTTTAAAACAAAAGCTTCCTGTTCCAAAAGGGAACAGAATTCTATGGGGCAGAAAGATGGTGCTTTTTACAAAGAGATATCTCTGTGCCATCTCAAAGGTTTTCAATGCAAATTAAGACACTTAGGCTGTACTGTAAGCCCCGTTAAATGGATGGGGGTGACTCTCAGCTTCGTATGGGTAAGCTTATAGGTTTGGAACTCTTCTTGCTGGGCAGAGGTTTTCAGCCAAACTGCTGCCTCCGACCCCTGACCCCACATCCTGTGACAATGCCTCTTGCGATCCTTACCTACAAAATGCCCTAATGGATCGTTCTTGGCAGCTAAGTCTGCCAGTTCTTTGTACAGAACGATGCAGCTATGTGGTGCACTGGTGTCCATTGGAGCTATTGTGATTGAAGTAGATCAGAGGTGCCTGAGAGATCCAGCACAGTTTATATGGAAAACCTTGTGTTAGAGGTTAATAGCCATTGATGGTCTCCTGCTACCCCAGACTGCCATCTTCAGAACGTCATTGGAGGGCCAAAAGGTCTGAATTGAGTGCCTTCTTCAGGCGGTCAGAAGCAGAATCCTCACCCTTCGCAATGGCAGTAATGCAGCTCCCCATAGCAACCTAATTGCGATTTTTAGACTTGGGTGAAACGCTGTTCTGGGCATCCTGTTTGTCTCCGTAATGAAGAGCCCACATTTTGAATAGCCCTACTGAGGACTACCAAGTCCTCTCGCTTTGGCCTGGTAACACAGTGCTCGAAACAGAATCACCCAGCCTTGCTGGAATCGAGCCCTGGCATGCATTAACCTACTTCCCCCCACAAATTCAGCGCTCAAACCCTTGTCGGCATTAGCCTGAGGCATGACCGTCTAGGAATCCCCCAGATAGCAGGCCTGCCAGGGAATTTTCTGGAGGAACAAATCCTCCTCCAAAGTGATTTAAAAATAACTTCTTCTTTTTTTAAACAACAGGAAGTTTTTCTAAGCCTAGGGAACCTAATGCCTGAATCGGCCTACTGTTCCTTGGCTGACTCCCCCAGAAAAGTGGTTAAAAAATAAATAAAACGGTTGGGCACAGTTCCGGTGGGAAGTTGTTAGAAGACAGGAATTTTGTTCCTGGGAGAGGGAGCGGACCAGACAAAGTGGCTTTCAGTTTCTGGCCACACATTCAAGTTACGCTTTGAGGAACTGTTAGTTAGAGACAGTCGTTCAGGCCTGGCCTAGCCGAATCCCTTACTCCGTTCAGGAAATTCAGAAACTGGAATATCCATCTGAAAGGGAGAGGGCACACACACGTAATTGGAACTGTACTTACCTTCAAGAAGCGTCTCTTAATGTCGAATCCGAATCTCCCCCTCCTGTAACTTTCAGCCCATCGATCTAGCTAGCCCTGCCTTCTGGGGCAGCAGATAACAAGTCTTTGCCCCCTTCAGGTATTTGAAGAGAAATGTGAGACTGGCTCTTCTGCTTAATAAGGATTTTAGTCGCTTGTTAAAGGAATTAACTTTTATTAAGCTCTTACAAGATCTCCTCTTACACTACCTTTTACTGTGACTGCATCTTTATGTACTTAGGCTTGTGTCCTTGTTTGCAGACCTGGGAACTCCAAAGTCCCAGGCATTGCGTCACCATTTCATCTCTTTTGGCAGAAACAGATATTTGCTTAACAATATGTTTTTCTATGCATAAGTTGGGGCAGCCATCTCCCCTTTTTAAAAAAATGTAGCAAGACCTGTGCTACTTAGCTTAAGCCTGGAATAGACCAGCAAGGTCACTAATTGTTTTTTTAATGATCAAAGCTGCCTTTGGTATCTTTGCCGAGTTGCCTTAATCACATACTTGAGTCTTCCCAGAATCTGTTATCTCATTCTCCGGTTTTTAGGGGACAGTGGTGTCATTCTAAATCCAGAAGTGCAGAACCTTTGGCCCTTCAAAATGTTTCTGAACTACAATTCCCATCATCCCTGGCCACTGGGCAGCGTTGCTGGGGCTGATGAGAGTTGTAGTCCAGGCAGGCCAAAGGTTCTTCACACCTGTTCTAAATGGTTGTGGTCTATATGTATGTAGTCTCAAAGCATACCAATATTGGAGCCGACATGGCGGCAAGGTTGTTGTTGTTTAGTCGTTTAGTCGTGTCTGACTCTTTGTGACCCCATGGACCAGAGCATGCCAGGCACTCTTGTCTTCCACTGCCTCCCACAGTTTGGTCAAACTCATGCTGGTAGCTTTGAGAACACTGTCCAACCATCTCGTCCTCTGTTGTCCCCTTCTCCTTGTGCCCTCCATCTTTCCCAACATCAGGGTCTTTTCCAGGGAGTCTTCTCTTCTCATGTGGCCAAAGTATTGGAGCCTCAGCTTCAAGGATCTGTCCTTCCAGTGAGCACTCAGGGCTGATTTCCTTCATAATGGATCGGTTTGATCTTCTTGCAGTCCATGGGACTCTCAAGAGTCTCCTCCAGCCCCATAATTCAAAAGCATCAATTCTTCGGCGATCAGCCTTCTTGATGGTCCAGCTCTCACTTCCATACATCACTCCTGGGAAAACCATGGCTTTAACTATACGGACCTTTGTTGGCAAGGTGACGTCTCTGCTTTTTAAGATGCTGTCTAGGTTTGTCATTGCTTTTCTCCCAAGAAGCAGGCGTCTTTTAATTTCGTGACTGCAGCAAGGTAACTGGGACCAAACAAGCTTATATCTTTTTATCCCTGCTAGGCACGCAAGCAGAGGCAAACAAACCAGCCATGGTCTTTAGTGCACTGATGCTTTGACTATTCTAACAAAGTCTTCTCTTTTTTCTCTCCTCCTCATTCCCCAATTCCTCTTTCCAGAGCAAGCACAGAGAAAACATTGCATATGCAGAGTATGGTGGCTGGTACAAGGCATGCAAGGTCAGCAGGTAAGTTGCTTTCAGGATTTCTTTATCACTCTTATTTCAGTTATTAGTTAATATGCCACTTACTTGCCAAGGTGGCTTCTAAGTGATTTTAAAGTATTGAGCTTAATTATAGATAAATAAACACACATAACTGAAGAGCACAATAGAACAATTTCATTGAAATGTTAAATACTACTGTATTTTTCGCTCTATAGGACGCACTTTTTCCCCTCCAAAAATTAAGGGGAAATGTGTGCGCGTCCTATAGAGTGAATGCAGGCTGCATGGCTAAGCCCAAAGCCAGAACAGGGAGAAGGAGCACTGCGCTGTTCTCGCTGTTCTAGCTTGGGGTTAGCTGCACAAAGCCTCCGCAGGGCAGCGGAGGCTACGAAGGCTGTACGAAGGTGGGGGGAAGGCTGCAACGCTTCCCCCCACCGCCAGCCCCACAAGCTCGGGGGACAGCGGGAAGATGGCGGCGCCTCTGCGCTGCTCCCCAACCTGGTTTTGAGGCTGGCGGTGGGGGAAAGCAGTGCTTCCCCCCACCGCCAGCCCCCAAGAGCAGGTCGAAAGGAACACAAAGCCTCCGGAGGCTTCGGGTGAACGCACCTTGAACGCACAGAACGCACCTTGTTTTAGAGGGGGAGAACAAGAAAAAAAAAATTTCCCTGTTCTCCCCCTCCTATGGTCTGGTGCATCCTATGGTCCGGTGCGTCCTATAGAGCGAAAAATATGGTGTGTATTAATCCCCAATGAAAATGTACAGGTCCATTAAAACAATACAACAATAAAACAGCAGTTGAAACAGCAGGTCCCTTGTTTAGAGAGGAGCCGGTGGTACGACAATACTAATGGGGCTTCATATTTTATCGGGAAGAGTTTTCCACAACACTGGTACCACCAGTGAAAACCCCCCCGTCCCTTCTGCGACTCAAAGGGTTGAATGGAATTGTTGCCCAAGTGCTCCTGTAACAGTTGTTGATCCAGTGGGTGGCTTTACTAATGGGAGGTTATTATTTTCCAGTTCTCTCCCCCCCACCCCGCCTTCAGAGCACCTCCTTCCTTGAAAATTGACTCCAGAGAGTTTGGGGGACCCTTCAGAACAGAATGGAAAGTCGCATTGGGGTGGGGGATACAGCAGGAAGGGCAAATCAGCAAAAGTCACTTCTTTTCCTTTAGCAGAAGTATCCACTGGATCCAAAAGCCTCCTGTAGTTTCGGATCCCACCCATTTTATTTATTTTTAGCTTTCAACTTCTGCTACTAACATGAATATGCCCATTTAGGGTCTAATAGCAAGGGGCAAGTACAGTGGTACCTCGCAAGACGAACGCCTCGCAAGACGGAAAACCCGCTAGACGAAAGGGTTTTCCGTTTTGGAGGCGCTTCGCAAGACGAATTTCCCTATGGGCTTGCTTCGCAAGACGACAGCCCATAGGGAAATATCCGGGACAGCGGGGAAGCGCAGCGCGTCTTCCCCACTGTCCTCGGACCTCCTCCGAAGCCTGGCGGCGGGGTGGGAACACCTCCTCTCGCCGCCGCCGGGCTTCGGAACGATGCTCCGAAGCCGGGCGGCGGGGCGGGAACACCTGCCCCCCCGCCCGGCTTCGGGACGATGCTCCGAAGCCGGGCGGCGGGGCGGGAAGTCCTGCCCCCCCGCCCGGCTTCGGGACGATGCTCCGAAGCCGGGCGGCGGGGCGGGAACTCCTGCCCCCCCCCCGCCCGGCTTCGGGACGATGCTCCAAAGCCGGGCGGCGGGGCGGGAACTCCTGCCCCCCCGCCCGGCTTCGGGACGATGCTCCAAAGCCGGGCGGCGGGGCGGGAACTCCTGCCCCCCCCCGCCCGGCTTCGGGACGATGCTCCGAAGCCGGGCGGCGGGGCGGGAACTCCTGCCCCCCCCGCCCGGCTTCGGGACGATGCTCCGAAGCCGGGCGGCGGGGAGGGAACACCTTCTGAAGGCGGGCGGGGGGCGAAAGTCTTTGCTCCCCCCTGCCTGCCTGTCCCGGAGGGCTTTCGAAGGCAGGCGGGGGGGAGCAAAGACTTTCGCCCCCCGCCCGCCTTCAGAAGAGGTCCAGGACCTCTTCTGAAGGCTGGCGGGGGGCAAAAGTCTTTGTCCCCCCTGCCTGCCTTCCCAGGGGCTTTTAAATCGCCCCGGACAGCGGAGAAGTCCTCCGCTGTCTCGGGGCGATTTTAAAATGCCGCCCGCCAGCATTTTAAGATCGCCCCGGACAGCGGAGAAGTCCTCCGCTGTCCCGGGGTTTTTTAAAATGCTGGGGGTGGGAAGAAAAGCCCTTGTCCCCCCCCCCAGCCTTCAGAAGAGGTCCGGGGACAGACTGTCCCCGGACCTGGTCTGAAGGCGGTTTCCCTAGGAACGTATTAATTGATTTTCAATGCATTCCTATGGGAAACCGTGCATCGCAAGACGAAAAACTCGCAAGACGAAGAGACTTGCGGAACGAATTAATTTCGTCTTGCGAGGCACCACTGTACCTCTTTCCTTGTGCAGCATTTTTCTGCGTAATTGCTGGGTAGTAACCATTCAGCTAAGGGACGCGGGTGGCGCTGTGGTTTAAAGCCTCAGCGCCTAGGACTTGCCGATCGAAAGGTCGGGAGTGCGCTCCCGTCGTTCGGTCCCAGCGCCTGCCAACCTAGCAGTTCGAAAGCACCTTCGGGTGCAAGTAGATAAATAGGTACCGCTTTATAGCGGGAAGGTAAACGGCGTTCCGTGTGCTGCGCTGGCTCGCCAGATGCAGCTTGTCACGCTGGCCACGTGACCCGGAAGTGTCTCCGGACAGCGCTGGCCCCTGGCCTCTTAAGTGAGATGGGCGCACAACCCCAGAGTCTGTCAAGACTGGCCCGTACGGGCAGGGGTACCTTTACCTTTACCTTTAACCATTCAGCTAAGCAATCTCAGTGTCATGGGAAATGGGGAGGTGTGTAGACAAGGGCGGCTCAGTGTTCAAGGTATTGCCATGGTAAGCAAGGACTGCTGGCTTCAGTGTTTCACTTTCACCTTAGCCCCACAGTGAACACCACTCTGCGGAACCTGGGCGCACTGTACAGGCGTCAGGGCAAGCTGGAGGCTGCGGAAACGCTGGAAGAGTGTGCAGTGCGATCCCGGAGACAGGTAAGGCCAACACCACCCCACGAACAACTTCTTGTGTAAAGGGAACTCTAGGGAGAAGAAAGCAAAAGTTGAGTGTTTCATCTGATTTTTAGATTTGCCAGGCAATTTAAGGCTTATACGGTGGAGCCTAAACCACTGGCTGCATTCAAATATGTAAAAAAGTTCCCTGCTGGTGTTGATTGATATGGTGTGGCCAGTTGTTTGTCAGTGTGGCTTTTGCTAGAAAGTTGCAGCTCGATATGTTTATTTTTCAGGATCCTTCCACTTCATCAGCAAAAGAAATCGCAGCAGGCTATAGAATCTGGCTGAAATAATTTACTTGACATTCTCTGGGTTCAGGCAATAAAATCTTGTCTTATTAAGCCGCAGTGTTCATGCAATTGTAAGCAGCTGCTTTGCTTCCTTACAGGAAAGCAAATCGGGTAATTGTAATTATCCATAATTTCCCTTTATGTCTGTACAGGAAACTATGGTTAATGGCTTCCAAAACCAAGCCAGAACATGAAGCTACGGTTCATGGCTTTACAACACTGGCTTGTTGGGAAGCCATTAGCCATAGTTCCCAGTTTGGACGTGGCATCCCGACTTGACGAAGGAGTAGAACAGCTGTGTGTGGGTGCACAGAGCTCATTCATATCTCAGTCCAAGATTTGATTGCATAAATGCATTGATTGCCTGTCAAGTGCTTGATGACTCCTTTGGAAAAGTTCTGCTTAATCAGAAAATGAGCTTTAGATCATTATTGTAGATCTGTCCAGCTGGTTGGACTGCAATGAATTTATATAGAATTGTGCCCAGGCCATATACCGTATTTTTCTCTCTATTACACGCAGATTTTTTCTCCTAAAAAGGAAGGGGAAATGTCTGTGCGTGTTATGGAGCGAATGGGGGGGGGGTCCCTGGAGCCGATTAGGGGAGCGCAGGAACAAAAATCAGCAAAAACGTGGTTAAAAAGCATGGATCCACATGGATCCTCAGGATCTTTGCATTGGGCCACCCCAAATTCACCATCAGATCACATAGCAGCCTGCCCCCCAAAAATCACACACCCATTGTTGCCTGGGGCTGCAATGGTGCAAAAATGTGGTTAAAAAGCATGGATCCACATGGATCCTCAGGATCTTTGCATTGGGCCACCCCAAATTCACCATCAGATCACATAGCAGCCTGCCTCCCCAAAATCACACACCCACTGTTGCCTGGGGCTGCAATGGTGCAAAAACGTGGTTAAAAAGCATGGATCCACATGGATCCTCAGGATCTTTGCATTGGGCCACCCCAAATTCACCATCAGATCACATAGCAGCCTGCCCCCCAAAAATCACACACCCACTGTTGCCTGGGGCTGCAATGGTGCAAAAATGTGGTTAAAAAGCATGGATCCACATGGATCCTCAGGATCTTTGCATTGGGCCACCCCAAATTCACCATCAGATCACATAGCAGCCTGCCCCCCAAAAATCACACACCCACTGTTGCCTGGGGCTGCAATGGTGCAAAAATGTGGTTAAAAAGCATGGATCCACATGGATCCTCAGGATCTTTGCATTGGGCCACCCCAAATTCACCATCAGATCACATAGCAGCCTGCCCCCCAAAAATCACGCACCCACTGTTGCCTGGGGCTGCAATGGTGCAAAAATGTGGTTAAAAAGCATGGATCCACATGGATCCTCAGGATCTTTGCATTGAGCTACCCCAAATTCACCATCAGATCACATGTCTGTGGCCACAGCATGAAGCACAAAAATGATACATCCACTGTTTCATTCAGAATTTTTTCCCTTGTTTTCCTCCTCTAAAAACGATGTGCGTGTTATGGTCAGGTGCGTGTTATAGAGCGAAAAATACGGTAGTTGCTCCAAGGCATGAAATGGAAGAGTTTCAGGAACACTCCTTGTATGTATGTTTATTTTTACCCCAGTTCACTTTGGATGTTCTTGATGGTCTCATCCTGATGTCCTAGTCCTTTGTTGCCAGGACCTGAGCTAAGCTCAGTGTATTTCACAACTGGATCATTTAGATGACTGTGGAATTCAGCATCTGGAGAACATTGGGCTTTTATTTTATTATTTTTAATGCAAGTTTTTAGCCATTATGACTATGGAAGTGTGGGCAATGTCTGGTGAAGCTTATGTAGTGATGGAGGAAGAGAGTTTTGTTACTGTTCCATTGCTCCATGCCACACCCCTGAATAACAAAAAGTTGAGGGGAAAGATGTATATTGGGGAAATATATGCATAATTGCCGTGCAACAGCCATGTTCACAAAACCAAATCTCAGCTTAGCTTCCTGGGGGAAACAGTAGAAGAAAGCTGTTTCGCTCTTCTCCTGCTTGTGGGTTTTCCAGGGATATCTGTTTGGTATAGGAGATAGGATTGGACTTCAGGGTCACCTAACATTTTGGGCCCCCATGCACATTTGCAAACCAGAGCAACAGTCGTGGGTACATATTGTCTTAGCTGCAGTAGAATTTCAACGAGTGGCAGGACTGGGGAGCAGACCTTGAGGGCACCCGAGAAACCCTGTGCGGCACATGGGTGCCTGCAAGCGCCATGTAGGCGATCTCGTGAGCTTTGGTCTGATCCAGGAGGACTGTTTTTGTATGTTCCTAGAAAGCCAAGATACAGTGGTGCCCCGCAAGACGAATGCCTCGCAAGACGAAAAGCCCGCTAGACGAAAGGGTTTTCCGTTTTTCGATGCGCTTCGCAAGACAATTTTCCCTATGGGCTTGGGCTTGCTTCGCAAGACGGAAATGTCTTGCGAGTCTTGCAATTTTTTTCGCTTTCCCCCCCTTTTCTAAGCCGCTAAGCCGCTAATAGCCTTTAAGCCGCTAAGCCTTTAATAGCCGCTAAGCCGCTAATAGCCTTTTAGCCGCTAAGCCGCTAAGCCTTTAATAGCCGCTAAACCACTAATAGCGCTAAGCCGCTAATAGGGTTGCTTCGCAAGACGAAAAAACCGCTAGACGAAGAGACTCGCGGAACGGATTATTTTTGTCTTGCGAGGCACCACTGTATACAGAAGGCGCATCAAGCCACCTTTGCTCCTCCTCTGTTCCTCCTCTTCCCCTCCCTTCACACAAACCAACGAGCAAGCCAGGAAACCTTAGTCAGCTATAGCTTCCCAGTACAATGGATGCTCGGGTTGCAAATATGATCCGTGCGGGAGGCACGTTCGCAACCCACAGTGCCGTGTCTGCGCACGCATGGGTTGCGATTTGGTGCTTCTGCGCATGCGCAAAGAACGATTTAGCGCTTCTGCGCATGCACGACTGCCAAAACCTGGAAGTAACCCATTCTGGTACTTCCGGGTTTTGGCGCGTCTGTAACCCAAAAAAAAGCAACCTGAAGCGTCTGTAACCCGTGGTATGACTGTATATCTAAACCAAGGTGGGAGATGGGGTTGTATTCAGCATAGTACTAAGTAGATGGCTCAAAACCTTCAAGGATTTCTGCTTGTGCAAAGGAACTTTATCCATCTCCTTCCCCTGCATCTCTTTAAATGCCCTCAATCTGTTCTAGGGGTTCCCCCAGTACTCTGGAGCAGATTTTGGGTGGGATGCATGGTGCACCAGAAGGAGGAGATGCAGAGGAGAGAAGAATCCTGCAGTGGTAGCAGTAATCCTTGCACTGACGGGATAGTTTAGTTGAAGACCACTCATGATTAGCGGTTTCCAAACAAGCCAGAATAGGAAAAGGTAAAGGTACCCCTGCCCGTACGGGCCAGTCGTGTCCGACTCTAGGGTTGTGCGCCGATCTCACTTAAGAGGCCGGGGGCCAGCGCTGTCCGGAGACACTTCTGGGTCACGGGGCCAGCGTGATGAAGCTGCTCTGGCGAGCCAGCCCCAGCGCAGCACATGGAAACGCCGTTTACCTTCCCGCTATAAAGCGGTACCAATTTATCTACTTGCACTTAGGGGTGCTTTCGAACTGCTAGGTGGGCAGGAGCTGGGACCGAAAGACGGGAGCTCACCCTGCTGTGGGGATTCGAACCGCCGATTAGCGGTTCCAAACAAGCCAGAATATGAAGCCATAATTTAAAGTTAAATTAATACCCCAACTTGTGTTGAAGCCATTAACCATTGCTTCCTAGTTCAGATGTTAGCTGAAAAGTTGGGTTGCTCACTCACGCGAAGGGAGGAGTGAAGTGGGAATAAAGGGGCATATTTTGGCTTAGGAAGCTAAGATCTGATTCTGCAAATGTGGCAAGTGTCTTGGTGCAGAACTTGGCATGCGTATAATGGTGGGATCCAGGAAGCGAAAGGGCAACTCTATAGTCTTTCCAATCCCCTTCCTGAACACCTTCCTGTCTCCACCCAAAATTGCCACCAGAAAAAAATTAACACACATGACCTTTTGGCATGTTAACGGCCAGGAAGCAAGGAAGTGTTTTAGATCTCTAGGAAGTGTTTGAGGGGCTCTGCGCTTCCCTTGCCCACCCCCAACCCTCCTTGTCTCTTTGTTTTGTGCTTGTCCCCTTGCAGGGCATTGACCCCATTAACCAGACCAGGGTGGTAGAGATTCTGAAAGAGGGCGACGGCTCCGAGAGGCGGAGGAGCCGAGACAGCCTGGGGGGCAGCGTCAAGTATGAGAGCGCCACAGATGGTAGCGAGGAAGTGAGTATGGGCGTGGAATGGAACGGGGTAAGTACAAGTCCACCATCAAGACCCGCCTAGCCCAGCCGAGAGAGGCAGAGGGCAGCAAACTCTACCCAGAGCTGTTGTTTATTTTTTGTCCGCCAATTGCTGCCCCTGCCGTCTCGGGGAGCTGATGGCCTGTCGTGGCATGCCCACCTCCATCCATCCTCTTGCATGCTCCCTGCCCGCTCCTCTTAATTGCCGGGTAGCCAGACTCAGGAAGGGAGCTCTTCCCATCTTAGTTCTCCCCACTCGACTCGGAACTTAGTATCTCCCGTCCCCCAGTTTTTTTAGGTGGGGGGGTGGGCGGAAGAAAGAGCAGAAGCCACTGATCGTAGGTGCTTTGATCTCCTCTACTAACATCCTACGGTGCTGCTCTCCCCTGATCTGTTGCAGGGACAAGGGACGGGGAGGGAAAGAAGGTTGTTTCGCTTCCTAGGAGATAACTTCGCTCTCGGAGCGAAGAGCGTAAAGGGCTTTGTTTCGGTTAGGGTTCTAGGGCTGCCACCATCCAGGAAAATGGATGTTTATGGGGTAGGGTGTGTATGTGTGTATACGTATGTGTGTTTTGTGTGTGTGTGTGTGTGTGTGTGTGTGTTCAGCATCTGAAGGACATGCCAAGAGGCACTGGAATGAATGTGTGAAGACTCAAAGGCATATCTACCTCAAAGTTTCAAGAGGCCACAAACACACCACAACTGCATTTTCTATAGGCGAGTACAGTGGTACCTCTGGTTAAGTACTTAATTCGTTCCGGAGGTCTGTACTTAACCTGAAACTGTTCTTAACCTGAAGCACCACTTTAGCTAATGGGGCCTCCTGCTGCCGCCGCGCCGCCGGAGCCCGATTTCTGTTCTTATCCTGAAGCAAAGTTCTTAACCTGAAGCACTATTTCTGGGTTAGCAGAGTGTGTAACCTGAAGCGTATGTAACCTGAGGTACCACTGTATGAGTTAGAGCAGGTAACCTCCTTCTCTGCCCTCCTCCTCCTTTGTTGACCCCTGGATTGGTCTTTTATCAATGAGAGGATTTAGCTTCTTCCTATATGCAGCCTGTTTCCTAACAGAGTGCTTGGGGCTGGGTGGACTGGTGGGACATCGTCTCTGGCGAGTAGCAGGATCCTAAGAGATTTCAGCTAGTGGCAACATTACTATGTCCATGTAACAAGTGAGTTTTGGTGGAAGAATATGAGCCTTCACGAAAAGCATCTTGACTCTGCCTGGTTTTGGTTTTGGGTCTTGAAGACTGGTTCTTAGACCTGTTGTCTCTCCTCGGCTTGGGGAGAAGTGTGTTTCGTACCCACTCCGAGTTGGGGAAGGTGTGTGAGGATGTGTAGCTTGCCTAAGATGCAGTCTTTAAGCATGTTTGTTCCTTTGGGGTTCTCCATAAGATGCAGCTAGCAGCAAGGACTTTGAACTAGATAAAGGATGAGGAGGGACTTACCGACCCATTGTTTTAATGCTTTGGTTACATTTAACTTGCACTCTTTCCATTGCTCACTAACTCTCCATCCTCTCTGCAGCTGCTTGCTTGCTTGCATGCGCCTCTCCATCCCCCATCTATCGCAGGCACATTGCCATGACAGCCAATCAGCGCCAAGGTGTCTTGCAATCTTGATTGTGGATTGTACCTAAAAGGCAGTACATGAACAAAAACTGTAAGAGAATGCGAGGACCCCATAGAAACTTGGGGAAAAGGAGTGTATAGAACTCCCTAATCCTAAAAGGCTTAAGTCCTCGTTCTTTACTTTTTCAGAGGATGACACTTCCCTCTTGGAATGAAGACTGACGTGGTATTTTAAGAGCAGTCACAGGCCCCCTTCCCCTCCGCCCACCATGCGATTCTAGCTTTGTGATTTGCAGCTTGCATTGTGGACGTACAGTCTAGCTAGCTGAACAATCACCTGATCAGCCTTCCCCTCTTTTCAGACGTCATGCAAAGGGAGAGCCTACCACCTCATCAAATGCAGGGGGTCTTGCGATCCGGTGGAGGCTTCCACTGGACTGGGTGGGGGGGTTAATTGTTTGCCAATTCCCCCTTAGCCCTGTATCTTCCAGCACCATTTTGGTCCGGAGATTCCACCACAGATTTTAAGGAAATACAGAGGGTTGCAAGTTGAAGGAAGAATTAGCAAAAGTTCTCATCTTCCTCTCTCCCCACCCACCCTGCCATATACATTTATTATTCATTTAACCAGAAAATCCACAAACCAATATTTTGAAAAAGAGTTCCAAAACCTTTCCAGGAATTGTAGGGAGAGGTGGGTGGATGATTTCTGAGATCATTAGAAGATGAAGGTGGTATATAAATTAAATAAATAAATAGAAATTCATGAGGACCAGTTCCTCCACAACTTGGGCGCCAGTTTTTCAGTGGTACGTTTTGTATTTAGTCTGGAAATGGCACTTTCAAACTACCTCCTTCCGCTCTTCAAATGTTGCGTTTGTCTTCATTCTTAGGCTAGTGTCCCTTGCAAGCTATGACTGGGGCTACCCTTTGTTCTGAGGCTGGCTTCCCCAACCTGGTGCCCCCCAGAAGTTGTCAGACTCCCAACTCGCATCAGCCTCAGCCTGCGTGGCTAAACGTTGGGGATGACAGGGACTGCAGTCCACCAACTTCTGGATGGCATCAGCTTGAGGAAGGCTGTTCCGGTCTATTCCACCTCCTGGGGAAAAGGACTGCCTGTCCCCCTCCCCATCTTTTATATAGCTATCTCCAGGGCTTAGGGTGGGCTTCATCCCTGAGGGAGAGCCGGTAATTCAGGTGCTGGTTTCCTCTGTAGTCATGTCTTTACTGTGAGCCTGCATTGCAGTAGTATTTCTATATTCTTGAATGCTCTTCTTGCTGCAGAGGCCACACCCTTATGCTACAAACCCTTCCCTCTCTCATTGCATGTTTCTTTAGATCGGGGTTTTCCAAACATGGGTCTCCAGCTGTTCTTAGACTACAACTTCCATCACCCCTAGCTAGCAGGACCCGTGTTCAGGGATGATGGGAACTGCAGTCCGAAAACAACCCAAGATGGCCCAAGTTTGGGAAACCCTGCTTTAGATGTTCAAGATGGTGGATCAGCTTGCTTGAGCCTTAAAGGGTTGCCAGTGACATGGATCAGATAGAACTTCCTTCTCCAGCTGAATGGAGGCAGGGCCATCTGAGAGCTATCGATGGAGAGCCTAAGGAGCCACTCCAGAAAAGGGCTGAAACTCGCAGCTGCCCAAATTCCCCAGAGTCTTAAAAACAACTGACTGAGATAAGGCACTAAGCCCTGCAACTGCCATACTTCTGCTCAGTTCAAACAGTATTCTGGCGAGAACTGAGTTTCCTTGGATTCCTCACTGAGAAGATCAGTGAGGTGAACCCTTCTGGAAGACAGGGTTCCCACTGCCACCAGTTGCCTCCTAAAACGTTCTCACTGAAATTATGCGCTCTGTTTACGTTGGACAAATGTGAGGCCTTGCTAGCCTGCCCACCATCTCTCATGAGCCGAGCATGTACTCTAGACTGCTTCCCAGAATTCTCAGGACGATCCGCTTAGCATTACGTTAAATGGAACCCGATCCATTTAGCTCATGGGGTCAAGGAGATGGATTCTGGAAAGGAGCAAAGGAGCAGCATTTTCTTTGAGAAACAGAATATGTCCTTTCATATTTGCCACTCCCCCTCCTTTCCTTTCCCCTCTAAACCCTCCCACCCCTCCATATTAGACTAGTAATAGCAAGAGATGTTGGAATAACTGAGGGAGACTTCATTTATGCAGCTGCAATCTAGTGTTTCTTCCTTGCACTAGGCAGTCTTCTCCAACCCTGGCGTCCTCTGAATGTTTTGGACTACAATACTGATCAGCCCCTGGCTGATGGGTGTTGTTGTCCAAAACATTCAGAGGATGGCAGGATTGGCAAAGGGTCTGGTTACTGACCCGAGGTCCCATGACTAAGCAAAGCCCTATGCCGTGAATATTTCGAAGCACCCTTTAGCCAATTGCATGTTGCCCGAGGAAATTCCTTGCCCCTCACCCACCAATAATAAAAATAAAAATAAAATTTTATTTATATCCCGCCCTCCCCAGCCAAAGCCGGGTTCAGAGCGGCTAACAACAGTAAAATAATACAGCATTCTGAAATCAATTCATTATAAAATCAGTTCAAATCAAATTAATGGCAACCACTGGGCTAGAGTTCTGTGAGGATTATAAAGGGCAGCTGTGTGATTTTCTCCCCACCCCACCGACCTGCAGTCGTTTGCTCCCCATGCTTGTACCATTGGCTTGTATCTCCCTTCCCTCCTTTTCGTTTGGGGTTGTTGTGCATCCTCACTATGGCCTTGTAAAATTTTGTCTTTCTCCTCTCTGTGCACTAGGCTTAAATGCCTCCTGAGACTCCTTCCTCCCCACCACCACACACACAAACCCCATCCTACCCCTTCACCACAATCGCCCGGATGTTTGTGTGCCGCCCCTTCTGGCTTTCTTCCTCCAAGCCACCCCTCCCCTCCTTCCACCGTTCCTGCTCTCCTTGGCAAGGACTCCATGGCAGTCCCCAACCCCAACCCGGCAGGCACCGAGGAGTGGAACAGCACCCGCAGAGGAACGTCCAGCTGGCTGCACCCTGGTTCTACCGCTACCATGTCAACCGGCAAGAGAGAGCAGGAAGAAGCTCCACGAATCCGCCATTTTGCCCCACCCCTTCCCCTCCACCAGTGCAGGACTTTGGCAGAACTCCTTGTGACCTTCCTCCATTCTCTTTCCTGTGTCTTAACGGGGGCCCTCGACGAAGGTCTTCTGCAGTCTGAAGAGGTCCTTGCTGCCCATCTCTCTGCCCTACTCCGCCTCCTGGCTTCCTTCCATCGTCTCCCACCATCCCTCTCCTTCTAGCATAACTCAGATTTTTCTGCTTCCCATTTTAGCTCTCTTCCCACCCCGCCTTGCCCTTCTCTCTGCCTCCTTCCCCCTCCCCTTGAAGCCAGAGCAGATGGGTAGACATTGGGATATGTCTGTTTCTCACCCCTAGCTTCGGATGGCAGGGAAAGTTAGGGAGATGGGCGAATTGTACTCTTTGCCAGGGATGAGGAGTGTGTGGCCCTCCTGGTGTTGTTGGGTTCCCCAGCCTTCATGGCCAGGGGTTAGGGATGATGGGAGTTGTAGTCCAATAACCCCCATCCTTGTTCCGTGCTCTGTTTTCCTTTCCTGTTCATCTGGTCATGTCCAGGATGCCTAAATGGCATTTGTATGCCGCAGGTAAAGGCCTTGCAGCCACCTTCTCATAGGGATTGGGCCTGTCCAGATGGAGATGGAAGAAGCTTCAGGCTTGTGTCCATTCTCCTTGCTGATGGATCCTCTTAGCCTATTCTTGCAGGGTAAAGAAAGAGAAATGGGGCACATTGTATTGAAAATAAAAATACTGGCGGACATGCCAGGGCAAAAGTGTGAGAGGCAGAAGCGTGAGATGTGACTTCCTAAAGAGGACCTTGTTTTAAATGAGCTGGGCATAGCCCGTCTCCTGTATGGCATGGAGACATTGGAGGAGGGTAGGCTAGAGGGGCTGCAACCGTCATGGATAGCGTTTTCATGGCCTATCCAGTACTGGCCCCTCTGATTAGACTTTTGGTCTGGACTTCCCCTGCCAGTCTAGCACTACAAGACACCTGCATTTCAGAAGAAACAGCCTCTCTAGGACTCTGAACCCAGGAACATTTCCTCACACAGTTCCTTTTTTTCGCAACAGGAGGGATAATCACAGACAAGGGTGACTCAACTGCCTCTGCTTCGTTGCCGCTCCTCTTGTTGTGCGGCGGGGGTGGCGAAACGGGACTGCATATTTGCATCTCTTTTATTTATTGTCATGAATGTAAAAGTTTTAACCTTGCTGTGGTTTAACACTGGAGATCGCAAGGTCCCAGCCAATGTCACACACAAACAAACACACACACAAAATCCACCCTGAAACCTACACCAAATGGGTGTGTTCGTAGCAATTGTAGCTGCTACTTATTTTAGAAGCCTGGCTAGGCAAGTGGGAGAGAGGGTTGGAACTTACACATCCTTGTATAAGAAGGCCGAGATCTGAGGCTCTTGCATGCAAGACAGCGAGGAGCAGAGGCAGGCAGAAATAGAAGGCCTCAGTTTTAAGGTGACAGTAGGTCGTCCCATTGCAATGGGGCATTTGGGGAATATTTTATGGGATGGGAAAGGGAATTTCTGGTTGGGGCATGGAAGTGTACAGTGGAAGTGTGGGAGAGACGTGCAGTCCTACATGTTTATATGGAAGCGCGTCTTACTGTGCTCATTGGCACTTATTCCCAGGTACGTAAGATTTCAGCCTTGGTGGCAGCCATGCCATTGAATGCACGAGGGTGTAGCTTTGTAGGGAGCTGAGGGTAAGGAGGAGGAGAGGGAGAAAAAGTTCCCTTGGGAACTGGGGCGTATGGCGGGACTTGCAGTGTGTTGCCGGAATTTATTTTTTCTTTTTTAATGAGGTGGGGATTTAAATGTAGACTGTGAAAAAGGGCACGTTGTTGGAGAGAATACCGGAAGGGATTTGTTGAGTAGAAAGTAAAGTCTGGGGAAGTGTTGGAGAGAAGTCCACTTGCATGCAGAGCATTTATTTTTTGACCCATTTTAGATCATGGCCAGTATTGGTCAGGGCCAAATCCAAATTGGACAGAGCAAGGACACACACACACACCATTCATGCATTTCCATGCACTCAGCGTATTCACTCACTTCCAGACACTATCCTGGTTCGGTCTCCCTTCTCCTCCCTCTATCCACCCACTTCCCCTGCCTGCCCTCTTGTAGTCAAACAGGCAGGGCTGAGTTGACAACGCAGGAGGACGTTGCTGCCTCCCTGTATCTTCATCCTGCTGCGCTGCTTCGCTGAGAATAGGACCCCCTTTCTCAGCGCACAGTGAAGAAGCCAAGCCGGCGAGTGTTGCAGGAAGAGAGCAAGCTCCCTTTTACGTTGCCAGCTCGGTGGGCCTGGTTCCCCTGCTTCTCAGCTGTTTCACACAGACGAGGGTTGTGGGGAGGTGGTTGATTGAAACCTAACTTCCCCGCGATCTCCCTCCCCCTTGCGCTGCTCAACCAATCTGCAGCAAGCATCTGAGAAGCAGTGGAAATGGGGCTGTGGAGGAGGCGGGAAGTAGAACTTGAGGGGGAAGCCGATTGGCCAAGTGGGAAAGCCTGGCAGGCCGTATTTGGCCCACAGGCCGAAGTTCTCCACCCCTGGTGCAGAGGGTCTAGCGATGCCTGAAGGGAAATCTGGGCGCTGGAATTTTCTGGGCTCTGGTTTCTAAGGGAGACAGTTAATTCATCACTTGTACTGGTGCTGGACGTATAACTCCTTTATGTTTCTGAAGGGGAGTCAGGCGCTTTGATCCTCCTCCAAGGCATGCAGGTGTGAGGGAATTTTTTTCCTTCAGCTCTCCTACCCATGCATAGCTTTTGTGGCTGTTTTTGATGTGATTTGGTGTTCTCGTGAGTATAGCTGGCTTTAAAAGAAGACGGTGACTAGATAACGTTTATAAATTAGAATTAGGGCTAGGTGTTAGGTAAGACGTATGCACCCTTTTTGCTCCAGCAGCCCATAACCATAGAGTGCTGGAACTGAATCCTAAGAGTATGCCATTATTGCCCTGTTCTGTTATTTCTGGAGCTGCTGGAGGCAGGATGCAGGTCAAGGGAGTGCCTGCCCTGGGAAGGATGCTCTCGGCTGGAACTGTGTGGCAGGACAGTTTGAAGGCTCTTGGGCCTAAATGCCTCTTGGGGCTCCTTTTGGGAAGTCCTTTGCAGCCACAGCGGAACTTTTTTGCTTTTTTGCCTGTCTGCTTCTGAAAGGGGGCAGCTTAATGCATGTCTGGGGCATGGCAGCTCTTGCCTCCCCATAAAGGGAGCCGGTAGGGAGAGGTGTAACCAACCCATCCAGAGGCAGTTGCTAAGAACCTATTGATGCTTCTTTTACACCTGGTTGTGGTTCTGCCCTGCACCGAGTGGGGAGGTGAAGTCTGTCCCAGGATGCTGTGAAGATGCCTCTGGAGCCCAGTCCTGGGAAGCTGCTTCCAGGGCCTCCCCTTAGAGCGACGGAGCCTCCATCAGCTCTCTGCCCAGCTCTGCATTTTGCCTTGCACTGGGGCTGTCCACAAGCCTTTTCAAAAAATAAAAATAAAATAGCACTAGCCGGGGGTGCTAAAAGTGTGTTCTACTTTCTGCCTTTCGCGCATACTTGGTGCTTTCCTTTAATGTTGTGAACTGATTTACCTCCAATTAAAGGCAGAAGGACCTGATCCCCTTCTTCTCCGTGACTCTTTTCACCATGCCGCCGCTCTTCTTACTCTTTTAAGAGAATTGCTGTCTCTTTCCTCCGAGGGCAAATCTTTATAGGCTTCTACACGCTGCAAATGCTCTGTTGTGGAAAGCAGGCAGCAAACTGGCCTTAGGTACGTGTGTAAAGTATGAATGAAGCGTGTGTGTGTGTGTGTGTGTGTGTGTGTGTGACTGACTGACTGACTGACTGACTGACTGACTATTATTATGGAGCAAGTAAGGGGAAAGGATTTGCTATTCCCTGTGCAGTAGCCACAGTGTATAAAGTCACTCTGTCAAACAGAAGGGGGAAACAGAAGCTTTAAGAAGACCTGTTGTGTGTTTTTTGTTCAGGATTATTGCTTACCCATACAGTCTGAGGTTCAGTGGGTCTGAGAATCTACACCTCTAAGGGAAAATGCTGCATCAGGCATTTATAGGAATAATAAAATATGAATCGTTGCTGCAGGACAGCAGCATGCGTGCAATTCAGCAGTGGACCTGAATTCATTCCCACTTTCCAACATTATCTTGTCTCTCTCTCTCTGCCTCCAAGCTTACCCAGCCTGTCCTTGTAGCTTCCCAGGCATAACTGTACACCAGCACTGCAAGAAAGTAAAAATATTTGGGGAGTATAAAACAAAGCAAAACTGCTCAAATGTTTTCAGCTACCCAAACGCTTCGCCCACCAAGGGGAAAAAGAATGAGTCTTCCTCCCTTAGGAGCACTGGGATATATTAGTTGCATTTTTAATAATGTTCATAATGAGAATACAAGGTTGGATCAGCTCATCAGTAAAACATTTCTTGTCTGTTTTTCTAAAAACACAAGGCAGGGTAAAGAAGTAAGATTATATATTTGCTTGACCTTAGGTTGATGGTAGGGACGCGGGTGGCGCTGTGGGTAAAACCTCAGCGCCTAGGACTTGCCGATCGTCAGTTCGAATCCCTGCGGCGGGGTGTGCTCCCGTCGTTCGGTCCCAGCGCCTGCCAACCTAGCAGTTCGAAAGCACCCCCGGGTGCAAGTAGATAAATAGGAACCGCTTACTAGCGGGAAGGTAAACGGCGTTTCCGTGTGCTGCGCTGGCTCGCCAGAGCAGCTTCGTCATGCTGGCCACGTGACCCGGAAGTGTCCTCGGACAGCGCTGGCCCCCGGCCTCTTGAGTGAGATGGGCGCACAACCCCAGAGTCGGACACGACTGGCCCGTACGGGCAGGGGTACCTTTACCTTTACTTAGGTTGATGGTAGGATTCAACCAGGAAAGTTTTTCCTACCATGGAGTTGTATTGATGGGAGAAGCATCATATGTGAGATATCCTATCAAAAACATTAAATTTGGGGGTAGGATGTAGAATTTTTTGCATTTTGTTAGGTGAAATGGTGGGAAAATCTTGGGGGTGTGCAGCCCCCACTGCCACTGCCTAAAGAACAAGCATTCTTGATTTTATTTACTATGTTTATATCTAGCATTTCAGTTAACCAGAGGCTGATAATGTTGACCTTTAAAAGCAGCTAGCATCATAAGGGCATAAGAAGAGCCCAGGTTTGTTTTTAATTAGGTCTAAGGCAAGTAAGTTGCAGTTAACATTTTTTTAGGAATGCAGTTATATTATGTTAGAACAGCACAGAATTGGGGCTCATCCAGACTTCCTTTTGTGCTGTGTTTCTAGGCACAGGTCTGTGTTTTAAAACACCGTCTCCATGTGTGTGTCTATATGTGTGTGTTTTGCCTTGGTGCTTTCCCTGCGAATGCATGCTCTTTACCACTGAATCGGAGCAAACAACAATCCACGGAAAACCTGAATTGCCGTTTGTTCCATTTTGGCGATAAAGAGCGGGTTTTCATGGTAAAAGTGCCAGCGCAAAAACAAAAAAAATGGACTCTGACCATGAGCTTTATAGTGTGGGCCTGGGCCTAGAAAATGTGAGGCAAAAGGTAAGTGTGGATGATCCCTGTGTGACCTTTGCTTAAACATACCTGCGGTTGTGGGAAGCTCTGAAGTTCCTGTGCTGCTTTCAATTCTGTCCCTTTACAGATGAATCCAAATTCTCTATTCTCTGCTTAATACATATTCCTGTTTGATGCCAACATGTGGCTGGCTTGTCATCCCATGAAAATGGTCCCCTTAGCTCAACTCATAAGGTGACCCATATGGTAAAGGTAAAGGGACCCCTGACCATTAGGTCCAGTCATGGCCGACTCTGGGGTTGCGGCGCACATCTCGCTTTATTGGCCGAGGGAGCTGGCGTACAGCTTCCGGGTCATGTGGCCATCATGACTAAGCAGCTTCTGGCGAACCAGAGCAGCGCACGGAAACGCCGTATACCTTCCCGACGGAGCGGTACCTATTTATCTACTTGCACTTGGACGTGCTTTCGAACTGCTAGGTTGGCAGGAGCAGGGACCGAGCAATGGGAGCTCACTCCGTCACGGGGATTCGAACCGCCAACCTTCTGATCGGCAAGTCCTAGGCTCTGTGGTTTAACCCATATGGTACCTAGGAGGAAATCTGGAGCATCCTTTTGATTCAGGCCAATGGCCCATCTAGTCTAGCATCCTGGTTTCTCAGCAGCCAGTCAGATTCCTGTGGGAAACCCACAAGCAGGACCCAAGAACAAGGGCACTCTCTCTTCCTGTTTTCCCCCAGCAATTGGTATTCAGAAGGATTACTGCCTCCAGCTGTGGAGGCAGATCATAGCTATTGCGTCTAGTAGCCATTGATAGATTTATCCTCCATGAATTTGTCTAATCATCTTTTGAAGCCACCTGCTACGTGGATACAAATAATATATAATAAAGCTGGCCAATCCCTTAGCCGTTCCTCATAAGGCATCGTTATGCCTCATAAGGCATAACGATGCCTTATGAGGAACGGCTAAGGGAGCTGGGCATGTTTAGCCTGGAGAAGAGGAGGTTAAGAGGTGATATGATAGCCATGTTCAAATATATAAAAGGATGTCACATAGAGGAGGGAGAAAGGTTGTTTTCTGCTGCTCCAGAGAAGCGGACATGGAGCAATGGATCCAAACTACAAGAAAGAAGATTCCACCTAAACCTTAGGAAGAACTTCCTGACAGTAAGAGCTGTTCGACAGTGGAATTTGCTGCCAAGGAGTGTGGTGGAGTCTCCTTCTTTGGAGGTCTTTAAGCAGAGGCTTGACAACCATATGTCAGGAGTGCTCTGATGGTGTTTCCTGCTTGGCAGGGGGTTGGACTCGATGGCCCTTGTGGTCTATTCCAACTCTATGATTCTATGATTCTATGAATTTTTCCGTAGCCTCACAGTGTAATCCTACTTCTACTCAGAAGTAAAATGCCATTGACTTCAATGGGACTTGCTCCTAAGTAAGTGAACATAGGATTGCAGCTTTCAGTAGAGTTCCTGTGCATGTTACCTGGGTATAAGCCACTTGAACCCAGTGGACCTCACTTCTGAGTCAAGAGGCATACAACTGTTAGTTCAGTAAAGCAGAGACGAAAATCAACATGAAGCTAACGTGAGCTACAATGGCAGCTAGCTCAAACATTGCGGAAGGATTTAATGAAATTATGTGCTTCTAATCCGAGTACTTAAGAGGTTTGCATGTAAAAGCCAGATGGAACTCTTGTGAGCAAAAACAAACAAACACCTGACATCTCTTGGGCTATAAAGCTAGAAAAGATCAGCTCTTGTGTGTAAATCCTTATATGTGCCGATGAACGGTCCATGCTTCCTATGTCACATGAGAATTGTGCTAGAGTTTCCTTGAGCAGGGTAAAACTGGCGTCAAGACCCTCCAGCCCCCTTCCTTAATGAAATGTTAGCTGTGCCATTTTGCTTCTCCTGGTTTCCCCCAGCATCTGATGTATATACATGGGTATTCACAAGGCCAAACACAGCTGCAGAAGACTGAAACCAATTCCAAATAATTAGGACAAAACTGAGCCCCACATGAAATGTTATAAAACTCCAGGAACTTACAAGTAATGGTCATGGAGCATACTTACAGCAAAAAACAATACCTCATCTTGTACAACCATGGGGCCCATTCACATCTTTTGTACAGCTACAATGGCAATGAAAAGAAAGATTCGCTTGCTGTGGCATAGCCGGTCAAGAAACTGGTTGCATCTTTCCTGAGCTTCCTTTGCCCTCTCTATAGCAGGGGTCTTCCCCTTCTGAAACAATTGGAGGGGGAGCCTGGGAGTTACTGGGTGAATGGCTGTGGTCTATAAAGCCAGTGGGAATGCCCAAATCTGTGGGAATATTCCACAGAGAGTTAGTCCTATAAACTGGATTCCAAACAGATCTATTTAGTTGAAAAGTACAGGAGTGAGGAATGGGGGGTTGGTAGATCACGGCCTTCTGAAGGTAAGGATCTGACCAAGACACCTGGTTTTTCACAACTCCAGCACCTACTCCCATTTGTTTCCAGACTTTCCAACATCTATCCCAACTATAGCCTGCTGTGTATGTGTGTTACTACTCACAAAAAAGTTCCCATGAGTGGTATCAAGTCCTGACCCAGCCCACAAACACATTATTTGGCATTTATAGGTGTTGATGTCCCCACAACACTTAAGTTACATAGTTGGCAAAGACCTCAACGAAAGATCCAGCCTTCCAGAGAATCTGCAGTGCAGCCTAGCAGGTGTCCATAGCCAGGAAAAAAACATTCTGTGGCATAAACTCTGCTGTAGAACTTCCCTATAACCTACAGCAGGGTTGTAAAATGTGTGGCCCTTAAAATGATGTTTGAGTCAACTCCCATCAGTCCCAGCCAGCATGGCCAAGGATTGTGTTCAGAAGCATCTGAAGATTCCCATCCCTGAGCTAGGGCATCTTCATGCATCTCTTCCATGCCATACCTGCAGCAGAACTTAGGCCGGGGGTTGCCAAACTTTTGGGGCAATTGGACATGTTTGGTAATTTGAGAAAGTGCTGCGAGAACCAGTTTCTTTTTATTCTGTTTGTTAAATTTGTATACTTCCCTTCATCCGA